TTATGCTTTCCACTAGAAGATGCGTATGATTTTTCGATTTTACTCACATTTAAGCAACAGTTCAACTGTACCGGTATTATGTTTCATATGCTGTTACACTTACAGAGAGTGTAATCCGGGACTTTTCAACAAAAAACCCCTCATCGTATGGGAACATGATTTTGTTTACAAAATAAGATCATAGGCATGATGCTATCGACTTTGTACTACGTACAGCGAGAAATGCTTGTGTGTTTTCGAAGAAAACGTTGATAAAGTGGTAACAACGTACAGACTGTGACATATGCATATTACTATGGAATACCGAGAGGGCCATCGTAGTTATACTTTATAATCTAGAGGGCAACAATAAGACAGTGCGATAGAACAAGGACGACAATACAACAGTGCGATGGCGACAATGCGATGCCGACAGTGCAACAATGCGATAGTGTGATGCCGATAATGAGATGCCGACAGTGCGATAATGCAATGGCGACAAAACGATAGTGCGATGGTACTAGAAATTTACATCCAGACGTAATTTTATCTATATAATTATCTAAAATAAGAGTTCAGCAATTTTCAGAAGTTTAACTGGTCAGCAGTTTTTCGCATGACGAACATGAATCAATCTTGAAGAGCACATCTATCTTGCTATATACCCATTAAATCGAATATCCAACTACCAATACCTACCAATTTTACGCTCCGTGTACTATACACCTTTAATTTTTATCAATATATACGATGGGGCATTTTTTTGGTACTTGGTAAACCGAGCGCCCGAACTATTTCTAAAAGACAGTAAATAAATATGACGAGATAAACAAACATTGCTACACTAGATTCTGTGTCCTCATGTTTTATATATATACAATGTAGTTATCAAAACAGCTTAAAAATTGCGATGTAAAAGAAAGAAATATGTTTATTTTGTTACAAGTATTAAACAAATTACAACGCATTCAAAGGTTAAAAGTAGCGTTGGCTTATAGAATTGTCAATACATGCACGCGGATGAATATGATTTTAATCAATTAAAATGCTATTTTTAGCGATGCCAGGATATACAGGAAAATACATACAGATATACAGTACGATTGAGATTGCAAAGATCAGAAAATATCACAGAGCTTGCAGCCCTTTGATTATTACTAGGGGACAATACGCCGCCATTCATGGAATGGCATTTCTGTGTCACATTGAAGGTTCCATGATACCCGCCGTTTGAATACATCTGCGGATGTTTCTAAATTCAAAGTTTCACCATTCCATGTTAAAATGTTGAATTCTGCTAAAGACGGTGCAAGGGGGCGTAGTCGGTAGTTTGCACTTGACATTACCGTCCATAAACAGGGTCAATCAAACCGAGCCTGCAACGTTTTCAAGTTTGACGTGTTTGGTCTTTAGGGATGACACTTTCCGTGCCTTCATAACGTACCGATTAATACGTGCAAATTCATTTTTCTTTACACAATTGAAGACAATTATTGATTGATCGAAAACAATCTGGAAACAAAGTGATCCACCGGAAGCATTAATCACAACAAAATTACATGAAAATTGCAGACTCGGTTTGATTGAGTCTATACATGAGGGATAATAAATAAGTGCAACATCCCTCACGCCCCTTAGATATTATAGCACAGAAAACAATAAAATAAGATATTATTAATTAAAATCGGAAAGTTTTACATTATATACTTTTAACAGGTAAATTACAAACTGTAAAAACGGTGCCCTTTTAATAAACTATCCTCACAACTTTTCACAGTTAATTGGCGACAGTCGATGACACGCGTTATACAAACATATGGACACCGGGACAAGTAAAGGTTAAGGGTTTAATTTACGATCTTGATTGAAATTTGAAAGTACAAAAAATACAACATTTCTTCTGTTTTTCGAATGTTCGTATTCGTTTTTCAATGTTCGAATATGCTGTAGTGTTTCGAATATTCAAATATATTTCCCGGCCCTATATTAATTCTTGAATCAATCGTTGCTTACATTTTCAATATGCATAACGAATTAACGAAATTACATGACGGGGGAACCACCGCAAACATACTTCCTTTCCTTGTTGGTCTTGTTTATCATATTTTACAGTAAAAGTTTATACAAATTATCGACGGGAAATATGTGTTTCGATTTAATTCAAATGATGAGTACTCTTTAAGGGGCGGTAACTTTTCTATTTTCGCTTCAACTAGAACAGTTCCTTCCTAAATTGAGGTTACTATCCTAAACGAATGGTAATTTCGCGCAGGATTGATTCCGTATGATTTGATGATGGGCTACTTAATTCTTAAAATCCTGCCAATCCTGGTAAATATAGACCATCAGAATAAAATTGAAAATTAAAACATTCCACAGACCACTTTGTAAATTATACTAAAACATTTTACAACAACTGACTATATTTCCTTTGGATAGCAAATTAATACACCCATTACTCATTATACCAAGATTTTACGCATTTTTGGGACTAGCAGTTGTTAAGGGCCGATTTGGTTAGGCGCGAAACGTCCTGTTTGCTCGAGGTGATCTTGTTGCGTTAACGGAATATTTTACAAATAACAAGGTTATAAGGGTGCCCTTCATAACATTTGTACCAATGCATCTCCCATAATTTCCTTGTGAGGATTGTAAGGTCCTTCCTTAGCAGTCCTTTACCACGCAGACTGCATAATACTAGAAGAAACCGGAAACTAAAAATGTAATTGCACATTTTTATACATAATTATTTTGTTTAAAAGTTATATATAGTTAACAAGTAAAGTCTGTTATTTATGTTATTATAAGTATATTGTAATATGCCGTTTTTCATGGAATGGTACTAACGTGTCACATTAAAGGTTGCATGATAACCACCATGTAAACACATATGCGGATGTTTCAAAATTCTAAATTTTACCGGTTCATGTTAAAATGTTATATACTGCTTAAGCCGGTGCTAGTGGACGTTGACGGTAATTTGCACTTACCAGTAAAAGTAAAGTAATTGCATTTTATAGTCTAAGTTTCATGCTTACGCACGTTCACCGACATTACAGCTAATACCCCTGGTCATCGGGCTACTGGTATCTATCTATCAGTCTCCCTAGGGAGACTTTTAACTCCGTTTATTTCAGCCGACACTTTGGCACACGGAATTATACCACCCTCGCAGGTACCCATTTACACCTAGGTGAAGTGAAGCAATCGCAAGTAAATTTCTTGCTCAAGGAAATTAGCAGTGACCCTGGTCGGGTTCGAACTCAGGACCTCTCGATCCCTAAGCGCGCGTCCTACCACTGGACTACCAGTCCATGAACAGGCTCAAATTTTCAAATTTGTAGTGTTGGGCTTTCTCTAGGGATTCTTATTGTTCTCTGTAATGTAACTACCACTCAAGCTTTATTATTATTATTTTGTATAAATGATTATATTTGATCCTTGATCTCATAATTATTGTCATTTTAAAATATCATATACAATGTATTCTAATAAATAAGACCCGTGGTTGAAAAGATATTCCTTACGTAAACTATAAACTTTAAAATATTATATTCCTTATTATTTTTATTGATAATATTTTACCATGGCAAACTTTTATGTAATTGTCATGGCAAATTTTTCCCATGGATATGCCATTGGAGAAATTTGCCATGACATTTCTATGGCAAAAATTTGCCATGGCAAAATTAAAAAGTAGAGATTGCAATAAAATCATAACAGTCGCACCAATAACATGTCATAGGATAAGTTTTAAAATGTTTTGTGATATTTTAAAAAAAATAATTGCCATGGTTAAAGTAGGAAAAATCTTGCCATGGCAATTCTAATTTGCCATGGCAAAATGCCGAAATGCCATGGCAAAACACTCTTTGCCATGGCAAATGCAAACTTTCAATGTATTTTTCCAAAACAGTATTCAAGATAGAAAAACAAAACATATTAACATTTAAACCTTTTAGTAAATATGACAATTTAAGATAGTTTTCATTTTTAAAAGCGCGTAAAAATAGAGGTTGAATTTGCCAAAAACTGGCGCAGCAAAAAGAAAACGGCAGCTATTAAAACGCAAAAAAATATTCACAAAAAGAAGGCTTAACAAAGCTGAAAACTATTTTATACATATTGCACAGGCAGCCTTGTGGAATTGACATTAGGTCAGACTTTCAGAGGAAATTTTGTTACAAATAATGAAGGTCGCAAATCTGTCATCTTCCATTTAAATTAAGATCATCACAACAACTAACAGCTAAAATGCTGTTAAATCGCCTAAAACAATGAAAAGTCCCACTACGAATATTACAAGCTCTAACTGTAGCAGTATCCATGAAAAAATGAGTATGAGGATTTATTTGGGATGCTATAAAGCTGTATGGATGAATAAGATTTAAAAAGGAAAACCTAAGTATATTATAGAATATAAAATATTAGATATGACAAATACACATTTTTGTTGAGAATAATAAAATAAGGGTATATGAAACAAGAGATGATATTGGTAAAAGATATATATGTAACGATGATATGAAAATCGTCAAAATATATGTAAAACATTGACCCCCGGCATGTTGCATTTTTCCCCAAAAAGAACCTAATTTGAAAAAAAAAAATATAGAGGTTCATTACAAATTATTTTATCAAATATCTAGCCGTTGTGATGTTAGAGGCGGGACCTTACTAAATACATGTCAGGTAATCCCTTGATTTGACCAAACTTCGGTCTTTCAGAAAGACAAAGTCTCTTGCCAAATATTTAAGTTCCATGAAATGCACGTTCAGAGAAGGTGATTTTAAAACTTGTTTTTAAGCTTCTTTTACAGACTCAAATCATTTTTTAAATTAAAAAAAAATGTAATGGGCTCCTGAAGATCATTCCTGTGAAATATGTAACAAACAATCCAATTGTTTTAGAGAACACGGTGTTTAAAGAAATTGTTGGTAACGGTGATCAAGGGACGTACTGTTAATACAAAAACTTACTTTCGAGCATCTTGCTACAGAATGTAAAATATAATACTTACAACGCTTTCCAAACATTTTTGAATGTCCATCTTGAATCTTTAAATACCCTTTGATTTGACGTTGACTTTCATCTGATTCAGTAGAAGTCGCACCGCCTTAAATACATAATTGAACGGATTTAATATCAACATTGAGCGCAATGAAAATATTACAAGAAACTTGATGATCTTAATTTTAATAATAGAAATGTTTGAATAACTTCAACTAGCATGATTTTTTAAATTCAAATAATTTCTTTTTCAATTGTTTAGAATGATTTAGGCTAGCCCTGGCCTTAGCATTTTAGATTGTCATTACATAAAAGATAACTTAAGGACAAAATTTTATTATTTATACATGACAGATCTTTTTGCATCACACAAGTGCAAACTGATACGTGATCTTTTGATGTTTTCTTTAATTAATGTGATATTATGCCCATCCAAGGGTATACATGTATAGTGAGTGAACGGGTGAAGATCAAAATAAGTTTTCATTTTCAATTTAATAATCAAGTTCAAATAAACTATAAATAACACACAGATCCAAATGTAAAGATCAATTAGAATTAATGCTTAGTTTATAAAAAGAGTGGGGCAGTCTTTTAAATATTAGGCAGATTTATAATTTTATCCTAAACATTTTCCAATATCAACTATTGGTCTAACACCATTTTGACAGCCAATCTTTTGAAATATAAAGTCATTTCAGTTCAACTTGACTATGGGAATATGAGCATAATGTCACTTTAAATATATTATTACGAGTAAAAAGTAGAAGTATGTTCAATCAACAATGTTTAGCAATATACATGCACATTACAATTTTAAAAATTACTTAAATGTTATATAAAATTAAATGTGATAATGATTGATTTAATTATTTATGTATTTATTTATTGTGTTGTTGAAATTATTATAAACAATATTAGTTTATGTTATGATTTCCCCAAGGCAAAGACGCTTATGAACTGCATACGTATATTGATTACGTATGGATTTACAAATATGAAAATTCTGTCATTAATGGTAGACAGTATACCTCAAACCTATCTCCTTTACAAAATCGTAACTACCGGTTTATAAATATGACACATGCACACTTATTGCAGATGTGCATCTGGGTACAATATTTTTATTAACCATTGAAATTCCGAGGAAATTCTTCGTGAAATAAAATGCATTATAAACCATCGTATCACACAAATTATGAGTAATATTGGTTTGTCAAGTTCGTTTTAAGCGTGCGTTTAATGTAATGTAGTTTTACGTTTAAAATATTTGTTCTTTTGTTCTTTTATGACACATTCTCGATTCAAATATCATTTACTTTATTAACATTCTTAACAGATACAACTGGCCAGTTCACCTTTGTTGCCCTCTTTTGTAGTCAGAACCACAGCTATGATATTTGGAATATGTGCATAGTTTCAGACGCAGACTTGAAAATTGATAAAAGTTTCATATTGTTTTATATATTTTCCTACATTTGAAAAATGTTAAGCAAAGGGACATTTTTTAGACTTTGCATGTATTAAAGGAATCATAATTTAAACATAATTTAAACACAATTTATTATAAAAAATGGAGGTAAATGTCTTAATATTTGAGTGTTCTGTCCCTAAAAGATAATTTATTTTTAATCTCTATTTCCAAGTGCAGATAACTCAACATTTACTGTTCTGAAGTCGTATCTCATTTCAAATTACTTTTAATAAATATGCACAATTTATAACAATTAAATCCAAAACGTGTTTTTCTATGCATAAGTTAGTAAATCTACTGATACATTTCTGCAAAAGGGGCTAACCTAGAGAAAATGTCTTATAGTTAGTCTAAACAAGAAATTCGTTTCAGCGAATGATTTATCAAAATGAAAGCAAATAATGTGATTAACATGAAATTGAAATAGAAGTAAGCGTTACTTGCTTATGTTTGAAATATCTGCTCATGACAAATAACAAAATATAAAACAAATATAAACTGTGACCTCCATTTTCAAAAGAATATTCCAATTTTGATTTTCTCTGAAAAAATTGTTCTCAAGTAATTGATGTATGTAAAGAAAAAAGATGAATATTGTTAAAAATGTAAAGGCAAGGGATTAGGTAACTTGTTATGTTATTTGAAAGTTTTTATCTGTATTTAATCTAATTATAATCAATATTGTAAGGCTTTTGAGCTACATACACAAATAGAAAGACAACATATCAAAGTAAGCTGATATTAAAATTAACTGCCACGTTAAATTGTGTTTTTTTCATAGTTCTATATCAAAGTTGAGTATTTAAATTGGTTATTTTTTAATAACGTTTTCAAAATATCTTAAACGTATATAGTACATGAACAAAGAATTCGGCAGAGGGATTTTGACCCAAGAGCCATTATTTAAACAGGTTTAGTGAATAAAAAAATTAAGTGGATGAACCTTAAGCAATGTGCATGCCAATTATCTAGGGTCTAGCAATTGAGTTACTGAAAAAAATGAATATTGATATATATAAATATATTAGCAATGTAAAAATGAAGAAAACCCCGTCCCCCGCTTTTTTAATTTTGAATATATATTAAGACACCAATAAACGACAGTGCTTCAAGTTGAGGTTTACTGGACAGCGCAAGTGAACGATCGTAAGACCGTCTTATTAACGCAATCATACGCTCAACTTAAATTGTAGGATTTCCATAGCCGTACGATTCTTACGCCTGTGCATAAATACGTATTTTCTAAAGAGGAGATGAGGCGCAGATAAATGCCCAACCTAACCAAGACGTCTGCTGCAGTTTCAAAGAGTCTAAAAGCAACAAAAAGTAACTAGACTGTGGACTTTAACCTAATGCGTTCAGTTATGAGTTCAAGGTCAATTCAATGCAGTCTAAATATCAACAGCGAAGCGTATACACCATCTCAGAAGGGGCGGATTGTTGCATTGTTTTATACACGTCACACGTATACTAAACTTCATTTGCAAACGCTAAAACAAATTAGGAAATAGGGTTTTTTTTCACACATTTATATGTTTTGATTGTGACATTCGTGGCATTATGATGCGGGTCCTCTAAAAACACAATTATTTTACAGGTATAAGTGGTCGTTTGATTAAAAGATTAGATGACTAATTAGCAGTCGCTGGTGGCGCTGAGCAAAAGTCGCTTAATACATTAAAGATATAGAGAGAAAATGATCGTGGGAATTTAAAGTGGTCGCATAAGACAAAAGTCGCTTAATACACATGGTCGCATGGGCAAGTTAGATTGTAACTCTATTTTGTTTTCTTGCTGGATGGTTCCAATACTCCTTATTGATTTGTTTGTTTGTTTCATTTTACGCCTTTTCCAAACAGTATTTCAGTCATATAGGCGGGTAGTTTCCTAACCATCGTATTGTTAAATTAGCATTAGGATATGTTGCCTACTTTTGAAACTTGTCGTTTGACGTCTTATCGGTGATGCGTAGGCTTTTTAACCCATGATGCCCTTTCAAATTCCATTTTACTTTGTTCCGCTCATTGTTATTTCGATAAAGCACCCGCGTATTTATGTGTCGCATTGAATAGGCGATATAGAGGTGTTACTTTTGCCGGCGGCGTCTGTGTTGGCGTCTCCTTAGGCTTGTCCGGAGCATACCTCAGTCACTATAAGCCGGATTGACTCCAAACTTGGTATGCATGCTTCTTTAAATGACCAAAAATGCAGTTCATAAGAATGTTTGAGTTATTGCTCTTTGTTAATTTTCATGCTTTATTTTTTCCGGGCCATTTCTCTTTAACTATGAAATCTAAAGACTTATAACTTCATAGGATGATAGATCTTATTGAGGTTAATTGCAGTGACCAAAAACTGGTACTCTGCATTTTTCATTGTTTTAGTCATTGCCCTTTGTTAATTTTCATATTTCGTTTTTGTCCGGGCTATTTCTTTAAACTATAACATCTATGGAAATGAAACTTCATATGATGATAGATCTAATTGAGATGAAGTGCAGTGTACAACAACTCTGTACTCTGAACTCCATGATTTTTGAGTAATTGCCCTTTGTTAATTTTCTTACTTTATTTTTGTCCCGGCCATTTCACCTAAACTATAAAAGCTATAGCCTTGGAATTTCATAGGATGATAAATCTCATTGAGAAGAATGCAATGCATATGAATCAATACAATGTACCTCATGATTTAAGAGTTATCGCCTTTGTTAATACAATACTTTATTTTGTCCGGGCCTTTTCTCCTACACTTTGAAAGCCATTGACTTGAAATTTCATAGGATGATAAGGCATCTAATTGAAAAGAAGTGCAGTGCATTTTTGAGTTATTGCATTCGTTAATTCCTTACTTAATAGGCTTGGTCAGAGCACCACTTTGATTGACATGAAATTTGGTATGTAATCTTTTTTTTCATTGACCTGAATTGCAGTGTTTAGGAATCCATCACGGAGTCCTTCATTTGATCTGTCAGTGTAACACTTTTCCATAGCTGTAAAATGTTGCCCCGTACTTTACTTCACTTCAGTGTTGTTATATTTTCTGGTCCTTCGGGATCATTGATGCCAGCACTATTAAGTCTTGAGAATTGAGTACCGCTCAAGCCGGTGCTAGGGGGCGTGAGGGATGTTGCACGTATTCATTATCCGTCATGTACAGACTCAATCAAACCGAGTCTGCAATTCTCTTGTAATTTTGTTGTGATTAATGCTTCCGAGGGATCTTTTTGTTACCAGATTTTTTAATTAATTTTTGATAATATAAAAGTTTTATTTATCTTGATGCAACATTGTTACAGTCAGTTCAAATGTCACTCAAGTTAAAGGTTCATGTACAGTGTAAGAACAGAGTTAGTGTAAGAACAGAGTTTAAATAAGTGACAGCTTTACTGTTTACAAGGCGACACATACGACTCGCTTAGTTTTTCTTTAACTTCGAGACCATTCGCCGCCTTTCATTGAATGACACGGGCGTGTCACATTGAAGGTTTTATGATAACCGACGTATGAATACAATTGCAGATGTTTCTAAATTTCACCATTTTCATGTTTAATTGTTAAATTCTGCATATGCCGGTGCTAGGCGGCGTGGACGGTAATTTGCATTTGCCAGCGCCGTTCATAAATAGTCTCAAC